CGTGTGTGTGTGTGTGTGTGTGTGTGTGCGCGCGTGCGTGTGCGGGTGTGTGCGTGCGCGCGTGCGTGCGTGCATGCGTGTGCGTGTGTGTGTGTGAAATACTTACTTCAGTTCCGCCTCCACTCGATTGAAAGTTGCCTGCATTTGTCTGCAAACATAAAATAATTAATTATTTTTTAATTGCTGCTCCATACGTAACAATTTTATTTCAAGAAATATATTTATCGTACCTTTACTCTTAAATAAGTAATATTTGTGTATAATTAGTCACTTTTATATAAGTAATAAATATATATCGTAAATTTTTTCTACGTTTACAAATAACTATAAATATGCAAAATATAAATTTACCGATTATCTCTATTTGGTGCTTGCAATTCTTTAATAATTCTGTTTGGTGGATTCAGTAGGTCATGCTCTCTATTTGGTGCTTGCAATTCGGGAATAATTCTGTTTGGTGGATTCAGTATAAAATTATGCTCTCTATTTGGTGCTTGCAATTCAGGAATAATTCTGTTTGGTGGATTCAGTAGGTCATCATGCTCTCTATTTGGTGCTTGCGATTCGGGAATAATTTTGTTTGGTGGATTCCGTAGGTCAGGCTCTCTATCTGGCGCTTGTGATTCGGAAATAATTCTGCTTTATGGATTCTGTAGGTCGTGCGATCCTTGACATCCTTGCGCAGGCCTTAATTGTTTGAGACTCGCCTTGAAAATTATTAGAAATATTCTCAGGATAAAGTGTTTTATCGATATTTGTGTGAGAAATGTAACTGGATTGTGCGGGGTGAGAATAATTGTATTGAGAAGTGCTTGAATATGTGTATGTGGATATCATGGGGGTGTATATGATTCAATATTTGTATGTTGCCTAATATTTGCTGTTTCGGTATTTTTGTGCGATTGAATGTTTGTCTGTGGTAAAACGTTATCGTCTGTTGTATAATGGTTGTGGTGTAAATAAAGAATAATTTTTATAAATTTTATCTGTGTTATCCTTTAGTATTCTTCTCAGATCATCGATGTCCTGGTCATACGTTGTTGCAGAAGTCTTTTTTCGTTTCGCAGGAGCTTCGTCCGAACTGGTTGTCTCATAGCGATGCGGTTTGGAAATGACACGTTTCGGCCGTTGCATCTGTGTCTGTAAGTAATAATGCATTAATTAATATTATATATTATTTTTCAACGTTGGAATAATATACGCAGTATATACATTGTGCTAGTAATGAGTAATGTATACCATCTTTTATCTTTTTTCAATTATGCCTGCACTTGTCTTTTTCATATACACTACATATGGATATTGTCTAGGGTAAATTAGCAACTATTTGCGAAATTAAACGAAATTTATCGAAATGTACAGAAAATCCAAATTAATTTTACAGACGTAATTAAAAGAACAAGGTATTTCAATATTATAAAACAATATTTGCATGTTATAATAATAAGAGGATAAGTTGTTGAGGAATTCGCAAGAATGCGCAAAGAAAAGTGTTATTACATACAAGCGATACTTATAAAAAGAATTGAACATGAAAAACGAAAAGATAGTATAATGCAATTAAACAATATATTATATTATACAATACTAATTGAAAAAAATGTTATTTTTTGTAAAAAATATATGCAAGAAGAACATAACATAAAGTAATAGAGCATAAAAAGACACTTTAAAAGGAAAGATCTTACATTCTTTCGCTATGTACAATAACAGCGACGATATATTGTCATGTTTGCAAATTATACTCTCCATCACTATCGCTATCATCGATCGATATACAATTCCAAAAAGGCATGCTGTAACATTTTCCATTAACTTCATCCAAATTAATATAAAAAGTCTCATTACTTAATGTGGCACATTTATATACTTGAACACTTGAAGATATATACTATACCAACATCGTAAAAGTCAGAAACTTCTAAAAATCTTTTCACGACCAAACGATAAGAATTATCATGCATGATAATATTTGACACAAACACATACACACGTAAACACACACACACACACACACACGCACACGCGCACGCGCACGCGCACGCACACGCACACACACACACACACACACACACACACACACACACACACCAAAGTTAATTAAATACGTGTGTGTAAATATCTCCGTATGTTATTTTATATATATTTTTTTTATAGACGAATGAATACCTTACTGATGGTAAACATCCTGAATCGCGTGCAGAATCGCCATATTATAATGCGCAACCACAGAAACCAGCATGCA